TTGTTTCTGTTTCTGTCTTAAATCTTTTCCTCTGGGACTCCAGTCTGTTCCTTAAGTCTCTATCTTGTTCTTTCCCTCTCTCCCTCCCTGTCTAGCCCAAGTCTCTCTCTCCCCCTCCCATTCAATCTCTCCCTCTTTCTCTCTCTCTCTCTCTCTAGCCCTCCACTTCTGCTGGTTCCTCCTCTCCCTGCTTCTCCTTTTCACTTTCTCTTCTTCCCTCTCCCAGTTTCCTTCTCTCCGCTGGTCTTTCCCTCCCTCCAGCCGCCCACGCTGCTGTCTCCCCTCCCAGTCCCCGCTGACCCCGCCCCTCTGGGCCTCCCCACCACAGCCTGACCCCTGGCTCAGCTGCCCCCACAGCTGAGGGGAGGAGCTGGGCCACCCCTGACTCTTGGCTCCCTGCTGGGCTGGGGCCTGGAGAGCCCGGGGCCCCCTCAGGGCTGAGGCTGGTCGTCCCAAGTGTTTGGAGAGTAGGAGCTGAGCCTCAACGCCAGGATCTCCATGGGCTGGTTGGGGTCAGGAGCCTGAGATACGGGGTACCCAGAATGGAGATGGCTTGGCTCTGGGGAGGGGTGGTGTTTCAGAGCCCTGGGTACCTGGAAAGGTGTGAGCTAGGACTCAGGACTCCTGAGTTGTGAGTGGAGCCTGGGGCAGGAGGTGTGGCTCTGAGGGTGGGTCCCGGTCCTCCTGGGAGGAGGGAGTGGCCTTGAAGTCCCCAATTCTGGCTCTAGCAGGGTCAAGTTGATTCTGGGTATAATGGGTCAGAGATCCACCTCAGATCCAGGTGAGAATTCTGCTCCAGGCTAAGACTGACCCCCCTCAGGAGGGAGAGGTGGTTCCTGGGCATATTTTGAGGAGCAAAATGATGGACCGGGTAGGGAGAGGTGTTACCGGGAAGGGGACCTGGCCCTGAGAGGGTCTGTCTAGGGCCGGCGGTAGTGTGTGGGTTTTTGACTTCCTGCAGGAAAAAATTCACAACAGGAAGCCAGGTGAATTTTAGATGCTTTTTGTTGAAGCTGGGACAGTGAAACACGGGAGGGCTGGGGAAATGAGCTGGGCTGGGCCGCTCTGGCTTACTAAGAAGTCAGAGAAAGGGGGGTTTGGGGGACAGGGTCAGGGGGTTGGCCTGGGATGAGCTGCCACTGCCCATTGCTGCTCTGGTTGCAAGCCTCATGGGGTCCCTTAGAGTTTAGGGGATGCAGGCCTGTGCGGGGAGAAGGGGTGGGAGGGGAAGGCGAGGGGGTGCTCCTGGGAGGAGAGCACTTGCTAGAACCTTTGTGTGTGTGTGTGTGTGTGTGTGTGTGTGTTTTCCCCCCTGGTACCTCCCCTAAAATCTCCACCCTTAAAACCCTTAGGACAGAGGACCCCGAGAGCTCTCCCTCCCAGACGCACTCCTTTGCCTCCCCAACCCCACTACCCAGGGTGTCAACTTCATCTTCCTCACTTCTAACCTCCAAATTAGGACAGAGGACCCCGAGGGCTCTCCCTCCCAGGCGCACTCCTTTGCCTCCCCCACCCCGCTACCCAGGGCGTCAACTTCATCTTCCTCACTTCTAACCTCCAAGAGCCCGTCCTTTACCTCTACAACTTGTCTCCTAAGCCTATTTCTTCTACGAAGTACTTCTTCCACTCCAGGCTAAGACTGACCCCCCTCAGGAGGGAGAGGTGGTTCCTGGGCATATTTTGAGGAGCAGAATGATGGACCGGGTAGGGAGGGGTGTTACCGGAAAGGGGACGTGGACCTGAGAGAGTCTGTCTAGGTCCGGTGGTAGTGTGTGGGTTTTTGATTTCCTGCAGGAAAAAATTCACAACAGGAAGCCAGGTGAATTTTAGATGCTTTTTGTTGAAGCTGGGACAGTGAAACACGGGAGGGCTGGGGAAATGAGCTGGGCTGGGCCGCTCTGGCTTACTAAGAAGTCAGAGAAAGGGGGGTTTGGGGGACAGGGTCAGGGGGTTGGCCTGGGATGAGCTGCCACTGCCCATTGCTGCTCTGGTTGCAAGCCTCATGGGGTCCCTTAGAGTTTAGGGGATGCAGGCCTGTGCGGGGAGAAGGGGTGGGAGGGGAAGGCGAGGGGGTGCTCCTGGGAGGAGAGCACTTGCTAGAACCTTTGTGTGTGTGTGTGTGTGTGTGTGTGTGTGTTTTCCCCCCTGGTACCTCCCCTAAAATCTCCACCCTTAAAACCCTTAGGACAGAGGACCCCGAGAGCTCTCCCTCCCAGACGCACTCCTTTGCCTCCCCAACCCCACTACCCAGGGTGTCAACTTCATCTTCCTCACTTCTAACCTCCAAGAGCCCGTC